AGCCTTGGCCTCTTTACAAAACAAACTGAATACTAATATGATTATTCAAATTATTAGCATCCAGGAAGGAAATACTGTTACCTAAATATTGTCCACACCTTCTGTATATAGACAACAATTCAGGATCAACACTGTGAACAGCCTTACAGCCCACCAACTCAGTTTGGCTTTAAATAAGACTCATGTCAGATTTAAAGTAGTAGGCACATATAGTCTTTTCTTTCCCTTTTGCCCTCTTTCTTTTGGTAGAATGTGCTTAGTTCTAAATTTTCTTCATGAGTTTAATTGAAATAAAAGGTACTTCAGTAGTTTCAGCCTGATTTAGAACTGCTTCTGAAACACAACTGCTTCACAAAAGTAAGAAGTTACACCATTTACACTAACTGTTCTTAATCACTAATGTAGATAAGTGATGCTTAGAGATTCATAAAGCCACAATAGAAAAGAATATCCATGTTCAAACTTTAATGAAAATATGTAGTCTTTTGAACAGAAGAATATTAAGCAGAACAGAAAACCTTTTTTTCTGGTTTTAAATCCACATTGGAGCAAACCTTCACCCTTGCAGGTGATTTAGTTTGCTGCCTGGGAAAACCAGATACATGTGTGTTTGTGTGTGTGTTCAGCATTTCTCAGAAAGGTGAGCCAGGGCGTGTCTGTACCTATGGTTACTTTGCTATTTGTTTGGCAAGGAAGCCTGATCAAATAATGCTGAGATGAAACTACTGCTGTCTTAGTATTGTTGATTTGCTTTAGTACACATTTATAAACCAGCCAATGCATCCCAGGCAGCAGGTTTGAATTGGAATTGTGTGCAACGTTTTGCTAGCTATTTTCAGAATAGAATGAGAAAAAAAGCTGAATAATCCATAGCTACTCTTAAAATATTCCTAATGGATCAGATCTATTAGCTAGTGTTGCTGTCAATGAGCCATTTGCAATGTGAATAGCTTATTTTCTTTTTCATGTGATTAAATTTGGTTTGGCTGTTAGTACATCCGTTCCTTTCTTCCCTCCAAATAGAAAAATCACTTTCATAGACTCATAGTTGTACTCAAGGGAGCACACATAAAATTCTAGTGATTCATTCATCAAATTTCTACATTTGAGTAAGCAGTGAGTTCAGACATCAGTCTGAAGTGATTTTTCTGAATTACCCAAACACTTGAACCGAAGACATTAGAAGACAAGAAAGGAAGAAAAGGAACTAGCCATCTTTCCTGATGCTATTTCCTTTCTTACTTGTCAGAGATGAGGAACTCTTCCATTGTTGTGAGAAAGATGATGTTATTTAATTCTCCTTCAGGGCCAACTTGCGGAATAGGAAACCCAGTCTGTAATCTGTTTAAAGATTTCTGGCTTTTGCCGTGTCAGGGTGAGACGGCAAGTAGTGTGAACATCACTGTCTTATTTTTAATCATGCTTGAAAAGTCAGGCTGTTAGAAGCAAAAGCAGTGACCTCCTTTACCTCTTTTAATCCCTAAGTTGCATGCCCTTCTTTCCCTCTTCCATGACTCAAAGATCTTCTCTAATGCACATTCTTTTCCTTTAAGACTCTCAGAAAGAGTATGCATAAGCATGAACCTTTTCACTTGAGAAATGGACACTAAATAATACTTATATCAAAATGAATGTTTAATTTTGCAGATAGGTGAGATGAAATTTATGAGGTCAGATGAGTTTCCCAAGGCTGTATGATGCAGAAATTAATTTGAGTATAGGAACAAAAGGCTTTTGATAACTAGTTCTTCATTTGATTCAAAATATCTATGTGAGCCAGTTAGGAAGAGTAACAATGGTATTTGCAGATATTTTGTTTTAAAATCTGATGAAGAATGAAAAGGAAAATTTGAATGGCTTTCTCAGAGCAAAGACCAAAGATATTTAAGATATATTCTGCCTGACTGAAGTCTGAAAGGATTGTACCTAGTCTTGGGGGTATGGCAATATCATCCAAATTTCTCTTTGTATTTAAAATGCATGTCCCCTCCTGGAATTAGCCTTGAGATATATCAAGTTTGACATATGTAAACATTTCCGAATCAGATATTTAAAGACCATGGCAACAGAGAGGATTTATTGCTGTCCATGTTTTATTATTTGATGCATTTGGATTGGCTTTATTTGCTTTGTCTTTCATGTGTGAAATATGCCATTTTGCCTACAAAAATGACAGCATCAAATGTATAGCAAGCAGGTTTCCATATGTCTTCTAAATGAACTCTAAGATACTTTAATGCTAAAGAAGGGTAGACCTCTCTGGTTGGAAAAAACATGGCAACTGTCTTAACTGTTTGATCTGCATGTATAGAAAAAAATATTTGATTCGTGGAGATTTACACCTTGACGTATTATTGTGTTGCAGCTGATGTCTTGTGCATTGTTACTGGGCATTAGAAAGGTGTGACATACTAACAATGACAACCTGCTATGCTGCTGCTGTTTCACATTTCACAGACAGTTAATTTTCCTTACCTCCCAAACTAACTGCTAGGGAGTCAAGCAACCTGTATGAGCATTTCTCTGCTTTCTATAAACCTAGTAATTATGTTACAGCTGTTAGACGCAGCTGTATGAATGTGTAAGTTTGCAATGGTTATACAAGTAGTCCTCAGGGAGGTTTTCAGTCACCAGGGGAAAAACACTGGTTATCTCCTCCTGCTCTCAGAGGATAGTTGGAATAATTGAAGAGCAGTGGAAGTCTTTGCATCTCTAATAGATATTAGTGCTCTTTATTTTTTTTTTTTAATTGAGCGTTCGCTTATACAGTACGAATTTCATTTTGTTTGGCTTCCTGTTTCTTGGGATGTTTTCCTGTGATAGATTTCTAGCTCATTATCTCTATATTAAAGCATTACTTGGGATGACCATTCACAGTCAAATTCTTTTCTCATCACTGTAGTTTGCAAAATGTTTTGAACATATATTTCCCAAAACGAGGCTTCTTATATGAAATTCTGTCTTTCTCCGTTTTCTAAATCATTAATGGACTTCATTCAGAGGTCTTCTTAAAAAATTCATGATTCAGCTGATGCCTCAAGATTTCTCTCTTGTTCTTTATCTCTCACATTCCTCCAAAAATATTGTCAGCTCATTCTGAAAATTCAAATGAGCCTTTAATATGACTTCCCCACTAGCCAGCTGCAGAGCTGTAAGTCTGGGGGATGAGACTGGGAGAAAAAATACCCCCCTGATAGATAACATTTGTAGTCTTGCAAAAAGTTGAAAATATGTGACAGTAGGAGGAAGTTTTACACAGTGCAGCTGACTGCAGTGTCAGGGATATTCTTTTTGAGTCATTCTGTGGAATCAGAGGATAGATGATAAAAACCTTTCCCAGAATAAAACTGTGGGGAAAATATAAGTAATTAAAATGGATTATTTTAATCAGTTGTGTTAATTGTTAATAAATCATTTGAAAAAAATACCCAAACCAAACCAACACAACCCAGCCAAAAAAAAAGGCATTTATTGGCCAAACACTTGAGTTAAAGAACAAAGGGCCATGGTAGGCTGACAGAACTGAAGAAATTACATGACTAGGTAAGGTGGCATTTGAGTACCAATGTAATGGCTTTAAAAATGAGAATGTTTTCTGTATTTTTATGTGCTACATCTCTGTTGCTCAACATCCTCGGTTTGCTTCAGCAGATGGAAAAATGAATTCCAAATCAGGAGAAAAAAATGTGATGTAAAATTTGGTTGGTAAACTGATGTTAAATTTTTAAGATGTAGGCTTTTTTTATTCAGCAATATGATAATATATGTAGATGCTTATTTTTCAGGTTGGGCAAAACAACTGGAATATTCGGGTTTGAGAATTAGGGTAAAATTTTCTTGCAGAATTTGTTAGTGACCCTTCTGAATGGTTGAATCTTTGTATGTGATTTTCACCATCATAATCCATGAATGAAGATATGACTTCTGAGACTAAAACTACATTTCCATCCATTTAGCCAAAACTGGATTCTTACCCATAATTAAAGTATTAAAACTGTGATCTATGATTCAGAGAAAATTATCATAGGAGTCAATGTATAGTAATGGATCAGTGAGCAAAGCACCTACAATTATATTTCAAGTGAGATTTTTCAATTGCATTTTTCATAAAATGAGCAATTATCCAGTGGTTTTCATGTTGAGCTTCAGATCAGGAAAACATTCTTAAAATCTCCAGTATTTACAAAACGTACAATGAAAAAACAAAATGGAATAATAGTTAATCAAGCAATATTTTTAAAAATAATTATTCTGTACCTTCCTGTAACATTCTTGAAATAAAATAGAAGCAGTTCAAACTCAGAAATACATTAAATTTTAGTTGCGCTCACAGTCCTCACTCAGTGTGGGAAATATGACCTTTGCATTTCAGGAGTAGCTTTTACTTGACGAGTAGCTTATGTGTTTGCTGCATTAGTTTTGCTCTCGCTGTGCTCAGAAGGGATTGTTGGATTGTTCTGGTAGAGTCACAATGGGCACCTGCTTTCTAGCACAGCCCTTCCTGGGCCAAGTTTTCTGTTGCGTCATTTCTTGTTTAGTACAAAGCAGGTTTGAGTTTTAATATTTCTGTGTAGTCTCCAGCCTAAGCTATTGTGTTGTAGCACAGACCTAACAGAACTTGAAGTTTATTTACAACCTTGATGGGTTTTGACTCTGTGTTTTGAAAACAGCTTTAAACACAACTGAAAAGCAGTATATGGGGGAGTGTGGATATCTGGATTTTCAGGGCTGTGGACAGTGTGTTCATTTTAGCTTTTCAAATGGAAAATACTTTGGTCAAAACTAGAAACTGTGATAAATCCCAGATCCCAACTTCACTGAAAAATCATCTTACATTGTATACCTACTTATATGTGAAGAGCTCAGAACTGGTATGTTTTTCTATTCTTTTATTTTAGATCTGCTACCAAGAATAATTAAATACTATTTCAGTGTCAAGAACAAAAAAAAAAAAAATCAGTGAGTACTGAAGCATTTGCTATTTCTGCTTTCTTTGACAGCTTTTTGGAAACTACAGCCTATTTCTGTATGAAACCAAAAATGGGCGAGAAGGAGGTGTCCCCACATTCTTTCTTCAGTATTTGGCATGAATTCAGTTCTGACTTCAAAGACTTCTGGAAGAAGGAAAACAAACTTATTCTTCAAGAAAGGTACATTTGTTTGTTTGTTCAAAGGCTTTTCTCAAAGAATGTTATTGGGAGCAATCGCACAGAAACCAGTCAGCCACACTTCATTAGCACACAACCCATTGAATGCCTTTTGGAGTTTTCTCAGGTTTTGTTTTTTTAACAGATCATGACACCCACCCTCACCACCCCAACCCCCCAGTCATCCCAATTTTTGAATGGAATTTTAATACCAGTTTGTGCTAAAGTTTTTTGGGTCCATTACCTGAACAGTGTTTTTGGCAGAGCATGTAACTACTATGCTGCTATGAATCCAAGCAATGGGAGACTTGTTTTAGGCCTGAAAGTTAATTAAAATTTTCATTACCATATTTAGTCAAAGAAAGTCAAGGCATTAGGACAGGGCATATTGTAAATATTTGTTTGACAATGCTGGGAAAAAGGAAGACAGAAGGAATAAGTCAATTAGCCCTGCGTTAAAAAACTGAATCATATTGCAAATCACAGCCTGGGTGATGGGGTACACAAGAGCAAGTGTGGTATAATATGGCATAAAGAAATGAGACAGGAGCTTTGAAAATCACCCGTGGTGTCTTGTCCATGTTTTAGAAGAGTTATGAAATCTCTACTTATCTGCATGCAGATAGTCCATTGTGGTCACCCTTTGTTTGTAAAAATTATGCCAAAAATTAATCAGTTGTTTAAAAAGTAATAAATGTCATATCAGGAAAAATGAAACATATGCAAACATGTAAATTCTAAGCATTGTTATATAATCCTACAGCTGTTGGCAGCTTGAGTTGAAGCTACATCTGAGCGTAAAAATTGGTGGGATTGAAGCTTTGGATTCATTAAATTATTGACATCAACCTGTTATTAGGTAATTTGACAAGAACAGGTCCTTTTTCAAGTGTACTCATCCTATGTAATTGTCACAGACATCTGACTTCTGGTTTAGAAAGTTACTGAAGACTTCCCCGAGGCACCTATACAGTTAATGTCATTTACACCATATATATTTGCTGTAACTGGGTACCTTTTGGAACAAGAAGTCTCACAGTGAAAAAAACTGGGTTCTGCTACTATAGCAAGAGCATGGTGCAAATGTTAGCACAGCAGATCTCTGGGGATCTCGTTCATATTACTGACTGTCTGAATTAATTTTATGTAATTAAGTATATCTCTTTGAAACTGATTTAACTGACAGTTAAATAATACCTTTAATTTTCCTATACAGGGATTTAGTTGCCTAGTTAATACAGGTTAATTTAGCCTTGTATATTTTATAGGAAAGGATTTAAGCAAAATGTCCTTTTATTTCAAAATACTAAGCCATTTTTCTTTTAAAAAAAATCAAAAAATCCCCCAGAGGGCTCTCACAGGAAAATAGTTTTCTTTAAAAGACATTAACTAAATTAGCACAGAGCATTTTCCTCCTTAAACATCTAAAGCTGAAGAGAAGAATGGGATTGAGATACAATCATTTGACCCTCTTTGAGTGTCAGTGTATGTGTATACTAAGAAGATGCGTTGAAGCAGCAGAGAAAAAAGCTGTCTGCCAGCCTGCCCCTTCTAGGGCAAGGGTGGTTGTAGCCTGAAAGGAACTGAACATATATAACCTACAGAATGGCTGCAGGGACAAGACGTGACAGGGAAGGGAAAGGGCAGTGAGAAGGATGAGAAGGATGTACAGTAGGGAAAGAAACTGGGAGATCCCTTGGAAGAACAGCAGGGGGACTGTTGTTCAAACCGGGGCTCGGAACTGGTGTGTTGAAGGAGGCTTTCCCAGGGGGACAGACAGGACAGTGTAACTTCAGTCCAGGAGGTCACTGAAATTAAGACTAAAAATAATGCATCCTGAAAGTCACAAGTAGATTTTTTTGTTTGAATTTTAACTTTTACTTGCCTCATCACGTTTAATTCTTCCACTCAATTTCGTTTGTTCAGGTGAGGCAGGGTTTAGACCTTGGGGACCTTTGATGTCTAATTATACTCAACTCTCAGATTTTTGGTATGGTGCTGCTGTGTCAGGTCTGACAAAGTGAAGCTCTCTTCATTGCACTTTAGGAATTAGAATGTTTTGGCCAAATTAGCAGTAAGAGTAAGAGCTTTTAAAGTAAGACATATAATTTTCCTGAAAATTAAGGATCTTCTTTAGTTAAACAACTGTCTTACCAAAGCCTTTGCACAGAAAATACCTTTTCTCCAATCATAGTTCAACCTGATATCTGAAGTTGTCTTTTAGGCTTTTTTTCTTGATTTTGCATTTCTGTCTCTCTTAATAAAAGGCAAGATGGTGTGCTATGAAGGTGTCTTGGTATTGAGAAATCAAAGGAGAAAAATCTCAGTGGAAAAATACATGTTGCCCAGAGGTGTAAGAATGTACATCATGATGGCATTCAAAATGTCGGCATAGATCAAGAGATCTGTAGGTGACAAAAATCTGAAAACTGCCTATTGCCATTAAAATATAAATAATTATTTCAAGAAAGTAGATTTTCCCCTTTAGGTAATGTTCTTGGAGTTTTTTCTGCTGATAAATTGTGGAGCAGGCTAAAACATTAATGATGAGACAAACTTTCTGTAATTGTTTGTTGGCAGTAAAATCAAGTGACAGATATGGTGAGACATTTTCAAAGACTGTGGTATGCCACCTTGGTGAGCTATTGACCAGGTTTCTGCCTCATGAAACATACTTTATTTACAATAATTATTTGTAAAATGTATAGCTTTATTCCCTTCTCTTTTTTAGCTTCATCATCTTTATCAAGCACTGGTTGCTTTGGGTTTTTCTAGTATATTTTGTATCCCAGTTTCCATGTGGACTGCTAATGGAGGCTGTTCCTCAGTTAGTATCTGCAAATACATGTCTTACTTACTCTTTTACAATAATTCAACCAAAGGATTTTCATAGATGATATTTCCAAAGGTGGTACTATATTTTGTTAGTGATAGGTTCAGCATGTATGTTCTAACAAAAAAAGTCAGTTCTTATTTTAAACACTTTTCACTTGGCATTTCAACTTGCATATTAGTTTGCCAGGCATTTATATGCAAAAGATAAACACTGAAGTGTCAGACTTTGTATTTCCTTACAAGAAGCTGAGAAAAGAAAAATGGTGCAAAGTTAAAAACAATTTTTCTGAAGTTTTCTACTGCTTTTACTGTTCTCTCACTTGAAGTAAAGCAGAACTGGAAAATACCATCTGTAGGGAAAATTATACATTTTAAACTTTTAAATAGAGTAGAAATAAAAAGAGAAAATGCATCTGAAAATTACAGTAAAAGCATAGGACTGCCAAGAGACTTTCTGAGCAGTACTATTTTTTGTGGTCACACCACAGTTAAGGCTAAGTAGATCATTCCATCAGAAATTGATATTGGGTTGTTTATAAACTTTTTTATGATATTTTGTGGAGATTGAAATTTCTGATGATATATCTATCCTAAATATGTATCTTTTTTAGTGAAAATTTTCAAATACTACTTTCTAATTAAGCAATTTAAAAAAAATCCAAAATAAACAAGAAGCCTGCCAAAGGAAAAAATAAAAGGCAGAAAAGCCCACGAGAAAAGGAGAGCCATAATCAAACTTATTGGGGCATGTTTTGAGTTTTTCCAGTTTTGATGTTGTTGTCACTGTCCTTCAAATATATTTATAATGTGTCAGTCATAGTCTATGGTTTTCATTGAGACTTTGCAAACTCTTGAAAATTTTACTGTCAGTATAGCCTGCATTTTGTGTTTAATCAGCAAGAAAGACTAGAAGAGCTGACATATTTTCCCTAAGATTTTTTGATGTTGTTTGAAAAGAGAGAGTATGATTTTGAACTTCACAAGCTTCCTGTTTAGCACCCTTATTATCTATACATTTATAGAGCTATATATATCTATACAGCTGCAGTAACAGCTCTGCAAGTCTGCCCTTCTTAGAAAAACTTAGGCAATCAGACCACAAATCTACAAATGCCTAGTTTTCCCTCCTGTTTTGTAAAAAAGTGTCTTTTATTAGCTGACCTATAAATGTATCAACCTTTTTCTCATTAATCTCATTTCTTTAGCTTCTAAAAACATTTCTTTACGTTTGTAGTTAGATGTAGTCAATCTGAAATGTGCTATTCCAGTCTAGTACTTCTGTGAGAGCAAATATTTTTATTTTTCTTGACATCCAGCAAAGGCCTGTAGAATTTTTGCCCAGACCCTACCATTTTCCTACCAGGAAAAGATATCCTGTCCTAAGAATGAAAGATAAAAAGAGCTCATGAAGCAACATCCAACGGAGGAAGTCTTGAAATGTTCTAAAAAATTAAAAAGTTAAGCAACTGCTGGTCCTGGAACTAATATATAAAAATGCCGTTATTTATCAGAAAATCTCATATTGCTGTGGACAACAATGATTCATCTTTAGGACTACTCCTTTTCTTTATGGCCATGGAATAGACCCTGGCTCATTACAGTAGCAAAAAGCAGTGAGTCCTTTAGGAAATTGTAAGTTTTAAAGTTCCATTGCTGTCAAACGTTAGTATCATCAGGTCACACATACCAGTTCAGACCTTACTAGAAAAGGATCAATGATATGGCAGAAGCTCGTGTGCAGGGCTGCAGTTCCCCCTTCCCTTTCTCTGGGTGCGAGTAAGGTGCTTACACTTGTTAATCCTCTCCAACTCTGGATCTGCTTCCCTCTCTTCAGACTGTTTGCTGTTCTAGAGGACCTGTGAAACTTGGAAAAGATTTACCTTGTGTTAGCTGTATTTCTAGATGGGAGAGCTGGAGGAGGAGGAGTGAGGGGCAGACAGAGGTCCCCTGTAAATGTGGGTATAAGGTACACAAAGGCACTTGCCTTTAGTAATGAGTTGTGTTGCTGAGCAGAGGCTGTGTCAGCGATGCCAGCAGAGGAGAGTTCATTAGCAGGATCAACAAAATGGTAAAATTCTGTAAGTCCCTGATGTCTTGCATCACACTAAGCTTGAGAATTTCTTTTGGCTGACTTTATTCAACCTTTAACTCCCACGATAAATCTTTGA